TAACTATGTTCAGTCACCATCCTGTCGTAAACTTTCTGATGAAACCGTAAATAATTTGCCATGCCAAGCACATTCTCTAGCTTTTCTCTTGTCATTGGTGCTTTAAGATTTGTTATTGCTCAATTTTCGATGTGTTTTTATATAATGAAATCGTTCAAATAAGATGTATTTTCTAAACCTGAGCGTAGTAGTAAATATAAAAAACAGTCGTGACTATATCAAACATAGTAGATGACAGTTCACTTTAAACATTATCTTGGTTAGTATGTCACAGTCGATATCTTTGATTTAATCAGTCATTCACCGTTTTGTACGTTCGTCTAAAAGTACAAGGAAGTTCATTTTGAAAAGTACTTCAGAAATCTAGTATGTTATCTGCTCTAAGATCACACAGTGCATTATATCCAAGCCATGTTTGTTACTGTGCGGCTTTCATGAATTTATTTGTATGAAAAAAGGTGCGATTGAGGATCCCTTGTTGAACATTCAAATCAGAATTGAATACATGTACTTAACGTTTTAGCCCGAAAGGTCACCAATGTAATACTAACAGCTGTTTCAAAGAATCTTTGAATTGATTTGTATAGTCCAAAGGTTTACATTCAGAGTTGAGGGTTTAATATTAATTAAATCGTTGCTGGATCACATGACTCATAAACAGATTTGATACAACTTAGTATTTCCCAGATTGTTTGTACATCACAACAGCAGAAGTCAAGTGCCGTGTGGCAACTGTAAAAGAGCTGCCCTGTGCTTCACTTCAGTGTTGTTATATATTTCTGGTTCTTCAGGATCATTGACTCCAGCATTAATAAGTGTTGAAAATTGAAATTGAGTACCGCTAGGGGGCATGAGGGATGTTGCACTATTTTCATAATCTCTCGTGTACAGACTCAATTAAACCGAGTCTGGAATTTTCATATAATTTTGTTGTGATTAATGCCTCCGAGGGATCACTCTTTCTCCAGATTTTGTTTTATATTTAACCATAAGTTATTATCTGCACGAGTTTCGAATGCTTTTATTTTAACCAGTATCTTATTTCTTTATAAAGAGTGCATGTTTGTTTCGTTTTCTGCCGTAAAGGTCTCTTTCCACTGTTTTACCTTTAAGATTATTATTATGTTACAGATGATTAGATTTTTTTTGTGTGTTATGACGTAACTTTAATATGTATTTTCGTATTCTACAAAACTCTGGATAAAGATGAAAAAACTTATCTTTCACGATAATCCAAAACAAATACATTACAAAAAAGAAGACAAAACAAAAGAAAAAAGAACAACAACACGAGGATAATATATGACATTTGTATGTATTCAAGGCTTAATGAGGGTCCATCCGCCCTTTCAGGCACTGAGAGTAAGGACCCCACACATGTCCCCATTCATGTCCTTAGAGGTTATTATATACTAAATACCAAAAGGTGGTATTACTTTTGAATTAAGTATGTCACTAATGACACTTAGTATGTATGCAAACCGACTTTGTATATAATATATGATAAAGACATACATAATATATCAGTTTGTACTTTTGACCTCAGCTATGTAGAAAATTTTATTTTTAATAGTTTAATAGATTTCCAAATAACAAAGCGCGGAATTACTTCTTCAAATGTATACTTTATACAAGAATGATAATCATGCGCAATGTTCGTGCAAAAATAGCTGAAGCCCACGGGGCTCGGGCTTTATATGTGTCCTTGGGTTTCTAAAGAGGTTAATGCATGAAAAAGGGTACATTAACCATGTTACGTTTTCCGACCCGCAATTTAAAATGTTTTAACTTAGACAAATCAGTGGTCTTAATAAGAGGAGTTTTGCTGTAGGTAATATTCACACAAAGCGCTCACAACATTCAAATCAAGACATTCTCAAAACTAGAAATGTGTCGCCACACCACGGATGCCCCTGCATGCAGCCAAAATTTCAGATGTTATAATATTTAGTTCAAAATTCATTGAACAAGCTATTTTTTTCATTTTAAATTCCTGAAAACTATTCAATGTAAACACAAACCATTTTCCTACAAAGTTCAAGGCACTGAAACTATTCAGTGTTAACCTATTGTTAAATTGCATATTGCATATTTGTAACCTAAATAATGACTACATACATTTTCACAAAAATTGGAGTGCTGAAACTGAAAATTTTCAAAATTTTTCCAATATTCAAGAGAGGTAACTTGTCCAAAATCCCTGAACCACGACCAAATTCAAATTTGAACTGCTTATTCCTAAATTGTGAAAAACAGAATCCCTAAAGACAGCCCAACACGACAAAATTGTAAAATGTTGCAGGTTCGTTTTGCCTAAGATGTATGTATATGTCAAATTTGTGTTGATAGTGTACAACCATTGTATAGATAATGAACGGAAACATAAAAAACTGATTTTTTCCAAAGTTCAACTGTCAGCTATCATTAAACGAACTTGACCTGTCTATTTTTATGACATATCCATATGTTAAATTTGAGTTGAATATGGACAACTGTTGGGGGATAATCAACGGAAACTGAAAATTTCATTTTTTTAAAGTGAAAGGGGCATAACCCCGCCAAAAAATCATCAAACCATGACCAAATTTAAACTTGACCTGCGCATTCCTTTGTCGTATCCACATGTCAAATTTGAGTTTACGTTTTATAACTCTGCCAACAATCTTCGAACCATGACCAAATTCAAACTTGACCTATATTTTCTCATGATATATCCATATGTCAAATTTGAGTTGAATGTGTGAAACCGTTACTAAGAACTGAAACTGATGATGAGGAAAGGACGGAACAAGGTAACACTATATATGCCCCTGTCGCATAAAAACATTATCAAAATATTCTTTTGTAGGGTTATCTCTTTAAAAGTATGTCATACGTACCAAACTTGGGATACGCTTTTCCAGTGAATAAACACTATATTCTCAAAGGGAAGCCATAAGCAATACATTTTTAGAGTTGATATGGCCACAAGAATAGTGTATCTGAGTAGAGGGTGGATTCTTTGAGATGTTGGAACAACCATTCTCACAGGATTGTCCTGACTGTTACGTGTATACATTTAAGATTAATTTACTCGCCACCGGTTGCTTATATGGGCAAGTCGTCCAGAAGAGTATTAGTCATTTTATACAGAGGATAGTGCAAGATTCAGATACAGAATGGTGCCCAAATTTTAAAAGCTTCTTCTGGTTCTTTAACGTGCCAGGTTCTTTAACGTGCCAGGTGTTTAAGCACTTATACACGGGACGTCGATTTAAAGTCTCATACGAAAGACTGATTAGTAATTTTAGTTGGCTTGCCTAGGAATCTAACCCACAATGTCAAAATTACTAATCTCGCGCTCTTAGCGATTGATCTGTTCGGGTTGACCTGACTGTTACTACAACGTCACACTAATTTATACTTTCAAATGCATCTCTCATAGCGCAGACGAAATATATTTGAAAATAAAATCACCGGTTTATGCTGAAAAAATTTATTAAAAAATATATTTATAGAGAGTGAGAGGGAGAGAGATATTTTGTTTTAGGAAATTTAGATAAAAGCTTTAAACTTAGAACATGTCGTGTCAGTTCAAACATAGATTCAATTAAAGAACTAAGGAAAAAATTTAAAAATGCATTTTTGCATTGCATAAATTTTAGTCATTTGAGACCATTCTGAAATGTTTCAATTTAAAAACAGGTCAGACCTAAGAAGAGTTCCTTTTAACCAGTTTAACAATTGTTTACGCTGTAATCAAAGACTGTTGCACTTCTAAACATTAAGGTTTCACGTAATAATCTCTTGGGGTCATTATTTAGATTTCTTTTTGTTAATAATCGTGATTAAGTTTATCTAAAATATTTAGTACTTTTGCAGGTCAATGGTCCTAAAAGAAAAGTCGTCAAATCTCAACTACGAGATTTTTAAACTGTATTATATTTCTATCAAACACATAATATAAAAGCAATCAAAGATTAAAAAAGTGGAAGATTTTGATTTTTTTACGAAACACCTTTGCAACATTAGTACTATTATTACAAGCATTCATATCAAATCAAAGGAGTGTGTTAGTATATTAAATTGAATAGTTTTTTTCGAGGTAAATAAATTATCAACGCGATAACTGAAGAGTACGTGTTTCATGTATTCAGAGGAAAGTTTAAAGAGGAAAGTGTAAAATATTCATCAGCAAAGTTTGATGTGGAAGCAACTGTATTATTATGTTTAAAATAACTGAGAATATGAAGAGAGTGGGGCGGAAAGGGTCTGGTTGCTCGTGTTTTTAAGATATCAGGTCCTTATAAAATAATAATCAATAGATTCAATGCAGTACACATATAAAATGATAATGTAATTGAATGTGAAATAGATTTTAGAGTGCGGGTGGGCGGAGGGGGTATTTTTACTGTGGTGACAGATTCAGGAAATTGCTGGGTTCATTACTGAAATTTCGTCTCTGTCTAATGCTGCGTTTTGTGGATAACACTCTCTTTTGTTGATCTTTCCTTTTATATATAATCTTCCCGATTGTAATATTACTTACCACTCCCTTAAGTGGAAATAGTGTGCTTTCTGCTAAGATCCGATTCTTAATTTTGACTGTTTAATTCATTTGTATGTTGCTACCAGATGACAAAATTTGTCGACAAAAAAATAAAACGATGTTAACCTGCAGTTTATTTTTACAAACTGTTGATATTCTGCTAGATAAAAATCCAGTGTTAAAATGTGTGATTCTATCGGTTAAAATTGCAATTTTCTTTGATTTTTTTAAATTTTACCTTTCTGTACGAAAAAAAAAAATTCTTTATGAAATACATTGTAAGATAATAAAAAATCACATATTTAGTTAATGTTAACGACACTGACAAATACGTTATCAATGCTTACAGTTAAACTATACGTTTTTATTGAAACTTAGTTATAACAAAATGAAAGTTCACGAAAATGAAACTTTATGGCATTTTCTAATAGACTAAGATTTTTGCAATTTTCTACTCCTTTCTTTTTTTCAGCAATGTTATTACGTTGTGAATTGAAGAACTAGAATGACCAGGTGTAAGAGAAATAATGCCGCTGATATAAATGTCAACGTCACCGATGTCTTAACCAATGGAATCATTGCAATTTCCAATAGTACTTTTAAAATTCTCATATATTGCTTTACGCGTTCATTCATCAGTTATCACAACGAGTGTATAGGGAAAGAAGAAAGATAAGTTTGATATATCAGAGCTAAAAGTTAAGGTGGCGAAAAGTCTGTTAGCCTTCGGGATACATCATCCGAAAAGGATTTGATTTTATATTTCAAATATGTAACAATGATGCGAAAAAAATCAACTTGATTTTTGAGATTAGTTCTTGGATAAAAACAATCAACACTTTTTATTTCCAATCAACACAATGGTTTTCTTTTTGGACATTAATCCCTTAATCATCTTATTATGTCTTCTAATGTGCATTGGATTTTTATACAGGTGAGTTGGCTCCTTTTTATATTAATGGATCTTGTAATACAAGTATATTAACTGAAATTATGACTTTTTACATTTCTTTGAAAATTTTGTTAAATATTCTATGACGAGTTGGTTGTAAAATTGAAAATGTGATAGCAATTTTTTTTCACTGTTTATATAATTATGCAGTGCAGTTTGAAGGACATATTGAATGAAATGCTAATATAAATCAAATCATTTCATGTAAAATGAATGTTTTATTACATTTATTTGTAATCAATGCAATTGTTTCTATAGTTTACGGAAAATCTTATAATATAATATGTTCAGTTAAAACAAACGTGTTTTCTTATATTTCGATATTTAGTCTATTTGTTCGGTAAATTTTAAAACAAATTTGCCATAGGGATTATAATTATATTTTATATGCGTACATATTTTTTATATAAATAATTATGTTAAAACGTTTATTGTACATAGCTATTGATATAGGTTTTATGGGCATTAATTGTTCACATGTTTCGTTTGAAGATATATGAAGGATACCTATACTGTTCTCGAACGCCTTGGTATACCAGGACCAAAACCAATCTGGGTATTCGGAAATGTTCTGGAGTTCAAAGGAAAGGTAAAAACGTGAAGTTTTAATGATTTAAACATATTTTATTGCCAAAAATAAGGCAAATACATACATGTAGACAGTTACAATACAATGACATGACATAATTGACAAAAGGGTTGACCCACAAGTTCTCTCAGCATTGGCAACGGGTCTTCCCTGATGCAAATAATTTCAATAACATATTTTACAAGAATGACAATCAGTTAGATAGAAGTAACAAAACTCACACATATATAGTACTTGGCTTTAAAAAAATATTTAAAAAGTGTTGAAATGCAATTTTAACCAGATATGACGATAACTTATAGATTTTGTAAAGATAGGATAATAACTTTTTTTACACTGCCTTTCGACTTTTTTTTTTTTAATTTTGATATTCTTTCCTAATTGGATGTATTTTCATAGAATTATTCATGTAAATCATGTAAAGGGAATACCATTATGCATTATATGCTTACATTTATAATTGCCTTTCTATGTCATGCCACCAACACTTATGGACCCTTAGGAAAATAGGGGTTTACCCTTGTTTGTGTTCTCTCGGGTGATGGTATGCATGTCATGGGTGTTTGTGCACATGTTTGTGTTATGTATTACTCCATGTGTCATATTACCATGTGTGTACATTATGCCAAAATAAATCTTATATCTTAACTTAACATTTAAAAAATGCAACATGTTTATTTCATAAATCATGGAATCTTTTCGACATGCATTGAAGACGCTTCAATGTCCTGATTTTTTAGAATCATCGCTATCAGCACTACTATAAGCATGCCTTCAGATTAATGCTTATGCATGACCAAAGTGTAATTGACTATAATATAAAATGAATAATGATTTAATCATGTATTTGTAAAAAAATAGGAAAATAACTTCTGCTTCGTAACTTTTTTCTCTACTGAACATTTTTTTGTATTAGTTTAAAGCAGAATAAAATTATGTACTGAAAGATATCCAAACTTTTCAATTACGTTATAGATTTGAGTTCTACAAATCAGCCTGTTGATATAATCACCTATGCTTTAAAGTAAATAGTTCACGTTTATTGAAGTTGACTTATGAGCCCATTGGGCCGGGTGTATTTAATATGTTATATTATTTGATTTGTTAAATATGTTTACACATGTCATTTTAATTAAATAAATTTCTTGCTTACTTATTCAAAATGAGCATGGACGTAGGTGTGCAATCTTTCATTAATATTTCATTTACGCATAAAATAATCGGAAACGTTCATAAATATTTCAAGACGTCATCATTTCTACAAGTACAAAATCATAAAATATTTATTCAAATTGAAAACAATTACTTTAAAAAAGAACCAATCAATACAAATTCAAAGCAATATATGTATTCATATTTTATGCCTTGAAACAGGGAGTGTTGGTTTAATGAATTCTTTTACTCAATAGATGAATTATTTTAAATGATAAAATCAACATTTGAAACGTCAGTAGAGAATAAATTGTGTGCGGCGGCTGTGAATTTTACCGCTTAACCGATTCAGTATATTCTGAACCATAAAACATTCAAATTGCTGTTGTAGAAATGTAGAAATCTACCGTTTATTTGCCTTTTTATTGCAATAAGAAAAAAGAAAACAAAAATCTTTGCAGTGGTTGCTATAGCAATACATCCGCTTTTTTAAATTTTCTTCCTAATTAAAAATGTTTGTCTGGAGTATATAACAATTTTGCCAGAATAATTTATAATGAAACCTATCCTTCATCATTCAGTTTTTAGATCTTATTCATCTAAATAGTTTATGTTTTTTCTTCTATAGAAATTTATGCTTTATACTATTTTCGCTAATAATGGATTTACAACCTGTTTGACGGTTATCACCGGAACAATGTTGCGCTGAATGTGTATTAAAGTAGCAAAATGTAAATGTATGTATGAAGTAAATGCTTAATGAGGGTCCATCCGCCCTTTTAGGCACAAAATGCAGATCTCGCTGTCGAGTACGGACCCCGGACATGTCACCAGTCATGCCCTTAAAGAGTTAATTTCGCAGCACAAAGTGATGATAAATACCTCCATGCAATTACCACGGAGTATTAGACAAAGATATGAATTTGAGTCAAAAGTAGGTCACTGTAGGGCGGTCAATGAAAACCTAAATGTACAGTTAACTGCGACAATATGAAAGGGTAGCCCTGAAAAGGGTTGTTTGTGCCATCAAAAGGCCTTGCCGTTCAAGCCGTCTAACCGTGCTAGGGGCTCACGAACCTTAGCACACCATCCTCGTCGACCCGAAGCCTACTTTGTAGGGCCACGCCCCTCGGCTTTAGTCAGGACATCGGTCGATCTTTAGCGCCGTCTCAAGTCTTTAAATCTTCTGACGATGCCCTGTATTTTCTCTACGACGTACACGTAACGAGGGGAAGAGAGAAGGCAAAATGTAAACTTCAATACAAAATACTAAATAAATATAACGCAAGTGAATTTTAAAATGCAATAAAAGCGAAGTGGTAATTCAGTTACATGGCCAATAAACTTTTTGAAACGGTCACAGGACAAAAAAAATGGTAAAAAGTTTTGAGAAATAAGAATGTTAATTTTTTTCTTTCTCTTTGGCGAGGGTGTGGATGGGTGTTTCATTGGCATTTCTTATAATTACAGAATGTTCTGAATGTGTTTGATGACTGGAAGAATAGATATGGAAACGTTTATGGGTAAGTTATACATGTACTATCTTATATAATAGTTTCGGAGCCTTCTCAAAGTTAAATTATAAACATATATGCACAGTGTGCAAAACTGGAGTGCAAGTATAAGTTACCCCCATTCCAGAGCATGCATATTGATTGGCTCATTTATTTTTGGGTTTACTTATTTTTACGACAGTGAAAGGGATAGCGATAGAAATATTATATTCAGATGCCTGTTCATTGGCTACGTTTTTCTAGGGTTTCATATTGTGACAACAGGAAACGTGTTGTTAACTTCGCGTATGATACAAAAGAGAAAGAACATAAAAACACTTCGCAATCTGATTGTTACACGGGAGCTACGCCCCCTCGTACAAATTAGATAGCCTTTTTTCGACGCGCTTTCAATTACTTATTTAAAACGAGTAAATTTATTATGCATATATGATTTATAATTCAATACGTAAATGTACTCTTCTATAAGTTTCTCGTATTTCATTTAAAATATCCAGCAAATAGAGTTATTTAAAATGATATATTTTATGGATTATTAGTCCCCTACCGGTTTAACCGGAGGGGACTTTAGGTTTACCCTCCGTCCGTCTGTCCGTCTGTCTGTCTGTCCGTCTGTCTGTATGTCTGTCAGTCCGTCAGTCCGTCCGTCCACAAAACTGGATCCCTTGATAACGCAAAAAGTACTGAAAATATTTTTATGAAACTTGATATATGGATAGATGGCAGTATGGAGATTATGCACGTCTTTTTCTTTTCTTCCTATGTTGAAAATTCTGGTTGCTATGGCAACAAATAGTCTGAAAATATGGCAAATTTAACACATAAACTGGATCCAGTGATAACTCAAAAAGTACTGAAAATATTTTTATGAAACTTCAAATATGGGTAGATGGCAGTCTGGAGATTATGCACATTTTTTTCTTTTCTTCCTATGTTAAAAATTCTGGTTGCTATGGCAACAAATAGTCTGAATTTCAAGATTTCTGATTTAAATTTTTCAGCTCTTTCACTATAAGTTCTTTATTAGTCCCCTACCGGTTTAACCGGAGGGGACTTTAGGTTTACCCTCCGTCCGTCTGTCCGAGCAGACGAGAGCTACATTATGAGGTTAAGGTTTATGTACAGGCACTCTGTATGGGGTTCATTCCGTAGAGACATGTATTATGTGGTTAAAAATGCTCTTATGGGGTTAAAAAAAATTGCTCTTGTTGGGTAAAGAGATCAAAGGAATAACCCCACAAACACGTCTGCTAAGTACGTCCGTCCGTCTGTCTGTCTGTCTGTCCGTCTGTCTGTCAGTCCGTCCGTCCACAAAACTGGATCCTGCGATAACGTAAAAAGTACTGAAAATATTTTTTATGAAACTTGATATATGGATAGATGGCAGTATGGAGATTATGCACGTCTTTTTTTTCTTCTTATGTTAAAAAATTCTGGTTGCTATGGCAACAAATAGTCTGAAAATATGGCAAATTTAACACATAAACTGGATCCAGTGATAAATCAAAAAGTACTGAAAATATTTTTATGAAACTTGAAATATGGGTAGATGGCAGTCTGCAGATTATGCACATCTTTTTCTTTTCTTCCTATGTTGAAAATTCTGGTTGCTATGGCAACAAATAGCCTGAATTTCAAGATTTCTGATTTAAATTTTTCAGCTTTTTCACTATATTTTCTTTATTTCTTAAGGTGTTTACTTCAAACTTTAAATATAAGTTTCTGGTCATCAACCACATCATATGTGACAAGGTTTATAACTCTAGCACAAAAATTATCAGTATTACCTCCCTTGAACTTAGATTTTTTAGGGGAAAAAATGTTGTCTTTTTTAAATAACTTCTTTATTTCCGAATGTATCTACTTCAAACTTCATATATATGTTTCTTATTATCACTCAACATTTTTGAGAAGGTCAAATACTCTAGCAAGACTATTTCCAGAATTATTTCCCCATTGAACTTAGATTTTTTTCGAGAAACTGGTATTTCCACTCTAACTTCTTCATTCCTTATAGGATTTACTTTAAAATCCCACATCGTAATATTATGACAAGGTTGTATAAACATAATTTCCTTACTAGGCATGGAAACTTAACACATTACTGTGGTATAGACAAACTTAGAACTCAAAAGATTTAAGTTCATTCATGTCATTCATTCACTGGTAAAATTGAATGGCAAATGGCCCATCAGAATGTTGCTGGGGTTCTAACCGGTAGGGGACTTATGGATTGCTTGCAATACTATGATAATTGCTTGTTGTATATGGCCTACTTATAATGAAGAAAATATGTAAGCGGTCGGTAAGTGTAGCCGGTAGAGCCCCGACACGGTAGAGGCCCATGGATTCGAATCCGGTTAGTTTGCCAGAATTTCCCGTCCATTTTCATTTGTCAACCTACATGGGACCGTGGTAAATTTCCAATTTGTCTCATAAATAAATTGTTGAGGAGAATGCCACAGCTTACGGCTAGCTTTATAATTATCAACGATCGGAAAGGACAGTTGTTAGTAATATGTAATAAAAGTCCAGAACTTGCGCCTGACCAGGCTTCACATTACGATATTTGTAAGTCATGAAAAATTTCTATTCTATTTATCGCTACCTCAAATCAAATGCATCTAATATACGGCTAAATCTCTTATTTTCCATGTATAGTTAAAAACGCTTCATTAAAGTCACGGTAGTTTTCGGCCATTTAGTCTTCTTCAGCAACATTTATTATGCACATGTGTACAAATTTATCTTCGTATGTATAATAAATGCCGCTGAAAAAGAAACGGAAAGGCCGAAAGCGATCGCGAATCTAAAGTAGCGTTTTAACCATATATTATATGAACATACATATTGTTTTTATCATACAATTATAACATTTTCTTTACAGATTTTACGAAGGATTCCGAGCCGGTATCGTGGTCAATGATGTAGACTATGCCCAGGACATTTTGAATAGATATTTTGACAAATTCGGTATTCGCACAGTAAGAGTTTGTTTTCTTCATTTTTCGTCATTATTAATATATATTTAATAAACTAAAAACAGTTAACGAAAATGTATTAAGAAGAAATATTTTAAAGATTTTCAGAAATTGTAGCTATCTTTAATAAATTTACTTTTCAAAACAAATGAAAAAAAATGCATTACAGAATGTACTATTCTTAAATTTCATGATTTTACCAATGGTAACAGATTTATCTTCCTTTTTATAGCCTACGTAGGAAACGTGTTACTGTTATATTTTTAAAAGTTACCTCCCTTTCATATACTTAATACATATCTAATATGAACGTGATTGTTTAACAGTTTTTACCCATTCATGAAGATTTTTTTCAATTTTCAACCATTTGTGCTGACCAATATTTTTTTTATATTTTAAGAGTTACCGACCCTTCATCTACTACCCTGACAACTTGCGACTGATTGAAATAGACGGCGATCATTGGAAAAATCAGCGAATTGTGTTTACTAAAATGCTGAACTCGCCAATCACTTTAAAATTGGTAAGCAATTTCTTCACATGTGGGTCTAAGGCTAACATAACTAACTGTTGAAAATTAATCCTCATTTGTTTTTTGAATGGTTTGGTTCATTTATTGTTTTGTTATTTTTGTTGTTGAAATTTAAAGGCACTTTTTGCATATGTATTTTTCCTTTATTTGGTATTCTGTTATTAGTTTCGTAAAAGCTACTCATCTTTAGCTTTTAATTATAGCGATTCATCATTTGAATGGAAGTCCAAATAATACTTTAGATATGTTTTGCTACTTTAATGACAAAAATTTTGCAATCCGCAATCTTTGTTCGTGAAATAAGCATCTTACCTTCTCTTAAACTAGTATTTAAACGTAATAAAACTCATATTTGCCCTTTCTTAAGAATTAAAATTGTATTGTTCCCTTAAGAATATTGTGCATTTAAATGACGTCGTCTAACTTGAATAAAAGAATGAATAATGAATAAACAGTGTATTGGGAATCTGCATTCCCTGTTACTGGTCAAGAAAAGTTTTTTCTTAATGACACGATATATTCATATTGAGTCCACCTATAAATTGTAGAGGTTTAAACATAATCCTACTTTATATGAAGTCAAAATCTTTTTTATTTTAGTTTTACAAAGAGTCTTTGTAACAATTATCAATATTTTCGAATGTCACATTTTAGCATATTATATCTTTAAGTGTTGTAATCTGCCAAAAGCAGGGCTTTTAGGCTACATTAGTATTTTAGATTTCCAAAGAGTGTCCATGAACGGGCTACACAAAATGTACAGCAACATTTTCAATAACATCATCTCGAATATCCTTTGAGGTTTCCATATTAACTTTTTGTACTATGTTTATATCGACAGGTTATTGACAAAATGCAGGTAACCGCAAAGTATATGCTTCAACAAATCTCTGATGAATTAAAAACTGTATCAGACGGTATCAACATATCAAGGTAATATCATATCAAGTTATGTAAATAAATGTTAAGAATAACAGTTAGCTCGACAAGAGAGCATCATATTTAGTAAGCTGATGTAACACATTTATTTTCTCGGAAGTAGGAATGATTTGTGATTTCTAATTACCATTACACGTTAATGAATGGAATGGTTTGTTTACTTTAATGAAGATATCATAGAAGAAGATGATAATGAAATATTTGAGAATGTCGCACCTAATCCGGGAGCGCCAGTAACTATTGAAAAAAACATCACATAGGTATTATTGTGATCGCTTAAGCACCACAAAGCAAAAGCAGAAAAAGTGTGTTTTGTTCCCTGGGAATTTATTAGAAAAACCACCATAATCAATAGTTTTAAAATATTTCGATCATACGTGACAGAATAACCCACAATGATATTTCTATTTCTTAACATTCAAATTGTTAATTTGAGAAATATGTATATAATTTCATATAGTGCCATAGATCAGTACGTGTCGGACGGGGTCATCCGGATCGTTTTAAACATGAATGATGAGAGGTTTGAACTATACAAACATTCATTTTATGACTACGAGATTCAAAGCAACTTGTCCGCATCTGCAGACAACGAAGTCGGGGGACTAGCTCGTAAATATTTTTGTTTTGGGTTATTGAATTTAAATTCAGTTTTAGAGGGCTAAAAAGAACTGATTTTGTTTTGTAATGCCAGAAATATCATTTGAAATACGCATCGTTTGATGTAGGTATAGACCAAGCCTTTGTGTGCAAAATGTCTGTTTTTTACAGATTTTTTTTATTAATTGTATAAAATAGCTAAAAATGAAAAGTGTTTTCAATTAAAATCGGCCTAAAAATAACATAAACACAATTTTGAATGTAATTCTGAACATTTTTTTATGCTGTAGTTCTGTTTTAAGTGCCCTAGTTGATCTAAGTCCGAAATGATAGAGACTTTATAACTTTACAAATTTTAAACCAAAGTGGAGTTCCTTTTTAAGTTAAATATTTGTAATTTGTTTTTGCATTGATGTTTAATTTTGTTATACTTTCATTTCTTTTGTTGCATTCATAATATAATCAGTTAAAATCATATTTACACTGATCTAAGGGCGCCCATAACCGTAAATTTGAATAAATAATATCCTTTCAAAAATAGATATAGATAATGATAAGAGATAAAAACGTTCTTATACAATTACAGGACTTTTCCCTCGGCTAGCACCACTTCTGAAATGTGCGGACAAGAAATATAAATATGCGCACGAAAAGGTTGTAAAGATTCTAAGAGAGTTCGTTGAAGAACTATCTTCTCGCCGGGTTAGTATGTAGCTGTTTGCTGACTGTTGAACACTTGTTCTTCATGTACGTTCATAAGAACAGAGCAGAACATATATTTTATTAGAGTTGTACCAAAGGCACATCAACGTAACATGTTTACTAAATTGATACATTTACATCTAATATAATCAGATAGTGAAAAATTGAAATGTAAATGTAATTATGACATGAGCAGCTTATATCGTCCGAAATATTATCAATTTTGTCATAACATCCGTTTCGAGTTAAAACTAAAGTTTATTGGTGAAACGCTAAAAGAGTAAATACTTATTACTCAGTTGAGCAGTTACATGTACGACTGAGGACATTGTAAATATATAAGAACTTTGGATTTTTGGAAAACCTGGGTCAGAGGACTTTTATTTCCATATTATCATAAACTTACTACAAATTACAATACCGGGTATTTCTCCGATAAAAGTTTATCATCTTAAAACCTTCTTGAGGTTGACAAATGCTTCTTATCAACGTATTTTATTTTTTTTAATTGTGTTTATTTTAAGCTGATGATATAACAAACATACCATAAATGATCATCTTTTTGTGTTTAATATCGTGTCGTAAAGTTAATTTTGTAACAGTAATATTGTTCCTTAATCATCGTGCAAAGATTTATGCTTAGTTGATGCATACTTCAATGAAATTTTACAGAACAATAATAAAGATAGCCAGGAGGTGCATGACAGTCTGTTTGCTTTCCTCCTCTCTTCAAAAGTACCTTGCCGGGACGCTGACGGCCGCTCTGCACATCGAAATCTTTCTACTGACGAAATTATTGCTCATATGTTGACACTCCTGAGCGAGATACACTCAACAACCACCGCAATGATTCTGTTCATTCTGTATGAACTAGCTTGTCATCAGGATTGCCAAGATAAACTATACGACGAAATCAAAAACATGGGCGATCAGGTAAATTCCCTAACGTTATTAAAAACGTTAAAGTGTGCCTGTTTAAAACGGTCAATGTCAGAGGCCTTGTAAATCGTAGAGAACAGTAGTTTAGTATTCAATGGTCATGGTCAAAGGCCTTGTGGAATGTCGAGAACAAAAGTGTGGTACCAGTTTGCAATGGGAGTTGTCGGATGTGCCCTTGTTAATAAAATGTTGAGATCAAAAGTGTGACATATCATTTAGATAGTCACGAAATTTTAGCCTTGAATTGTTTTCAATACTTAGAAATACAAATTGAACTTTCTTAAAAGGAAATTATATTGTTCGTTAAGCTTTAAATGTAATATATTGAGAACATCGGATACATTATAATGTCATAATTGAATAAGTGTGTTTTTCTACTATTTGTCTGATTACTTACTTGAGTGAAGATTAAATACTGCTTAAGCAGGTGCTAGTAGCATGAGTTATGTTGCACTTTCCAAATATAAAATCCCAATACATGAAATTTTTTCCTTTTAGGATGAAGATATCTCTTCTGAACAGCTGAAAAAAATGGAGTATTTTGATATGCTGTTCAATGAAACATACCGCCACCATCCTATAGCTCCAGGGTAAGAGACGTTTTTTTGCTTTTTTCAAAATCTCCACGAGTCGGTATCTCACTGGCTTCATGAATGTTTCCCTTACATTTACGTAAGCTGTCAATGATGTTCAACCTGTTGTTTTCTACATATAACAGACTGTCATATCTTTATTCTACAAAATAAGAAACAAATGTGCACCCTGGACAAAACTCAAATTGATTACCCTTTGAATTCCGTTCCGTAATACTTACGATTAAGCTGAACATCTCCTTCCCAGTAAGTCTACAGTATTTATACAGTAGCATTTGTATGCGTGAAATCATTTGACATAAATTGTCATAGGTAGTATTAAACTCTCACATATAATTAATTTTACTTCTCATAGTTTCAAATGACCTTGAAACCACGTGGCAAAAGCAGACAACACTTAAGGCGTGATTTGTATACTCAATCGGTATTTTTTCTGTTTTAGGGTTTCCCGGGTGTGCACAGAAACTTGTACAATAAGAGATGTGCAATTTCAAAAAGGGATGGTCGTAAGGGTGATGACAAGTCCTTTGTACAAGGACGCAAGTTTGTTCAATCTACCTGAAGCGTTCTTGCCCGAAAGGTAATTATATTGTCATTGCATAATTATGTTCATTATATCATGTATGTTTGTTCTAAAATCTTGGTCATTCTTAGCAATATATGAGCCGCAACAGGAAAAAACAAACATTGTGCGTTTTCGACCAGTATGGATCCAGACCAGCCTGCACATCCACGCAGTCTGATCAGGATCCCTGCTGTTCGCTTACAAACTCTCTTACAAGTAGAGAAACTGAAAGAGAACGGCATTGATCCTGATCAGACTGGTCTGGATCCATGCTGGTCGCAAACGCATTATGTTGGTTTTGTCGTGACGTTGTTACGTGGCTCATATCTTGTTTGTAACAGCTATTAAATTCCATGCTATAAATACTTTATATGTAGTCTATTTACAAAGTCGCCTCTTCATTGCCTTTAGATAGATATTAACTACTAAAACATATATTATACTATTACAGCGTCAAAAATAAGTGCGTTTCTTTCAGATTCTCCGAAGAGAGCAGACGAAATTGTCACCAGTATAGTTTTCTTCCATTTGGTCAAGGTCCAAGAATGTGCCCGGGGCAGAAGCTTGCAATAATCAAAGTGAAAATAGCAGTTATCAGTATTGTTAAGAACTACAGATTAACAACGTGTAAAAATACAGAGGTAAATAATGTTGTAAATGAGCAGTGTGAATATATCTCTTATATAAAAAGATTGAAGATTATTTCTTCCTCTGCATTTTAGGTTCCTCTGTTAATACACGGAAAGGTGCATTAGGACTTTTATTGCATACAAATATGTCTGATTCGGTAATTCCAAGTTTTTTTTATTTTTGTTTCGTTTTGATATTCTTTTATCATGATTCCACTGGCCCGTAGTTGAAGTAACCTTTTAAGTAACCTTTTTTACATGTCGACCTGTTTCATTCATTTTTTTAAGTATGCAACAACGGCCATGCTCGCGTGATTTTATGTGTTTGTCTTTACATGTGTGCGTATTTCTATGTAAGAATACGCGTCTTTTGCACTATGAAATTCTGGTTTCCCCAAAATTTGTCCAATTCAAATTGTATAACAATTCAAAAAAATGGTAATTACGTTCATGTATACATTTAACAAAAAAAAACCCTAGAATGAAAAACATGCATTGGATAAATCATCATCAGAGTTGCTAAAATAGCAGCTAAATATTACGTTCGTGAACATTCTTTTTTATTATTCTGTATACGTACAACATTTGGGTATATCAAATGACATAGACATTGTTTGTTACAAATCTTTCTATAAATTAGATACAAAAACAACATCATTTAAAAGTTCCAGATATAGCTTTATACAGTTTAGATACATTTTTAGCTCGACTATTCGAAGAATATGAGAGCTATTGTAGTCGCCCCGGCGTCGGCGTCAGCGTCCGCGTCGGCGTCTGCGTTGGTTAAAGTTTTTTGTAAATTCAAATATCTCAATTATTGCTTGAGATATTCAATTGAAACTTACAATACTTATTTATAGTAACATTGTACATCAGATTGACAAGTTGGATAACTCTGCCTACAATATTTACAGAATTATGCCCCTTTTTAACTTGGAAATTTTGGTAAAAGTTTTTTGTAAATTCAAATATCTCAATTATTGCTAGAGATATTCAGTTGAAACTTATAATATTTATTTATAGTAACAATGTACATCAGATTGACAAGTTGGATAACTCTGTCTATAATATTTACAGAATAATGCCCCTTTATAACTTAGAAATTTTGCTTAAAGTGTTTTTGTAAAGTCAAAAATCTCAATTATTGCTTGAGAAATTCAATTGAAATTTACAATACTTTTTTATAGTAACAATGTACATCAGTTTGAAAAATTGCATAACTCTGCCTGCAATATTTGCAGAGTTATTTGCCCCTTTGAAACTTAGAAATTGGTTAAAGGTCTTCAAAGATATTTACTTGAAACTTTACACATGTACTTATGGACATAATTGGAGAGTCATAATTGTATGTCACTGACCAAGTTCCATAACTCTACTCGCATTTAGGCTGATTCATCTCCCCTTTTCTACTTAGTCTCTAGGTTAATGTTTATATGCAAGTTTTACAATACATATCTCAGTAAGTATTAAAGATATTTATTTAAAACTTCACATATGCATTTAGAATTTAATTGTAGGTCACTGACCAAGATCCATAATTCTATCTTGCATTTAGGCTGATTTTTCTCCCCTTTTTCAACTTAGAAATTCATGGTAAAGTTTTGCTTGTAAGCTGTTATCTCCATAACTACTGAAGAGTTTGTGTGTTTTTTGGACATTTTTATGCATTATTAATAATAAAGCAGTGATTTACTTGATATAACATCTTAATAATAAGCCTTTGTATCTTTTCGGTCAATTTTATGTATTCATAGGTAACTAGCATTATTATACTCAACAAACTCTCTTGTGACAAATTTTTGAATAGTCGAGCCAATACTGTCCTCCGCCAGTTCTTGTTATTGATCTGATCGATCCTGTTGTACTTTATCATCCAAATGCTGTAAATGGATTTTTGGTTCCTCCTACTGTAATTATCATACTCAATATAAAGCTACATCTCTGCCACCTGTAGATTCCCAAAATAGTGTTTTAATTTTGAAAAACAAAAACAAACAAAATAACAATAGTTCCAAAATGCCTGTATGAAATTAATATGTTGCTATAGTACACTACGAGCGAATGGCATATGCAGGAAATCATTGCTAAGCGGTTAAAATCCTACTTAAAAGTGCACCATAATATTTGGTTTTGTAACAGTTGTTTTTCTGTTTGCGCACAATTATCATGTCCGTTAAATAACAGAAAACATTATAAGTTTCAGAATGTTCGCGCATCGACCATACAGTTATCGAAACATCAAAAATTCACTAGTTTTAAATTCTATCTAAGTATTTCAAAAGATTTAGATTTAGCTTTAAAATACCCGTTAACTATTTAATTATGAATAATTGTGTAACTTGACTCTGTTAAAATTAATCAGATAAAAACTAGCATCCTTATTTATAACAATATATATATATATAACTGCATAATATGTTTCATCGCTAAAATTGCTTTTATTTCAGACTCCTCTGAAACAAGCGCTGCGCCCCTCTCTGACACCAGCAAATGGAGTGTGTATACAATTGACAAAAAGAGCATCATAAGAACACTATGTATACATTATTCTATCAAAATCAAAGTTTATTTCATTTGGAATTCGTTGTACCTTGCTTTAAAAGCTTCGGTTCTACTTAAGATTCAACAGTCACAATAACAGATTCATAACATTCACTGAAAAAAGGATTAGACTCAAGATTTTTGACAGTATTCTTTCAGGTTTCATCTAACGATCTACCTCCTATACAGACCCTTGATGATATAAGTGAATTAGCTTCACACGATCAAATGATTCTTGTTGTGCATTAAAAGGATATTCAGGCAAAATAATGACAAAAATATATAAATTATCTTAAGTACTCAAATCAGGCTAAAATGACATTTCTTGGGGTTTCAACATAAATACATCTATACATGTTGAACAAAATTTAGACGCAAATAGAATCACCAAATAGTTTTAAAACAAGCAAGGTGACCTAAACAAACCTTTAATGTTTCCAGCGTCCACTTTGACAAATATTGCGAAATCAAAATGCTCTAACCTGACCCACGCGGGTCAAATTAGGAAAACACCATTTTATTCTTTATATGGAAACAAGTTTTGCTTCAGTGACTGTCTATATATTCATTTTGAGGGCATTTACAGAAGAATGAATGACAAAATCAAAACTAAGAAATGAAAATTTTGCCTGTGTCTCCCTTTAATGGATATCAGTATCAAAGCCAATCTATGACCGTTTTCTAGCGTTATTGGCGCTTTGGTTACCCGCATCATGTGTAGCGATTTCTGATGCTGCCAGACTACATCTTGTATTTAATCAAGACAGAAGCATCTACGTTTGAAAATGTTTAAGTAATTTTATCTATTCGTTAATTGTAAAAAAATATTGTAGCTGGATTAATTAATGTACTATGAAGACGTATTTTCTAAGTTCACCCAAATCTGTTCAGAGAGAATGCAATTCATACTTTTTGTTCTTCTGAAAACCGCATTCTTCTTGAATATTTTAAATTAAAATCGTTTTCTCTAAAATCATTATACAGACGTAGGTAAGAATCTTAACAAAGCATTATATTATAAATTTCCTTTTCTTTTTTTATATTGTACGAAACTTGACCACTTTGTTTTATGCATGCAATACTGTTGTTGAAGAGACGGTTGGTGTACAAATGGACGTTCTGCAAAGGTTTTACTTTATACATGACATCAAGAGTAAGCAAATCTGCTTATTTATCAAATATGACATGAACAAATTGATTATTTATTGTTATGAATTGCTCGTTGAGACTTTTTAAATTCTATTTTAGAAATGTTCGTTTTCTTTTAATGTGTTGATTTTTTTTTTGTTTATTTTAAATTCTAATTGTGTTTAAAAGTTGTATCATATACTTGGCAAAACTTAAACTCACTCATGTGTACAAACTATCTGTTTTATGATTATTTTAGACATCGTACTTAATGTAATGGTATTATGTATGAATGTCACATACTTATTTATGAAGAAGTTGCAAGAGAAGAAATTTTTAAAAGAAAAACAACTCCAAATCACATTTTCACAGCAGGTCATATCTACTCATTTTTGGTATAAGTAAGCCAACCAGGCGGAAACCTGAACTTTTTCAAAATAGCATAGACATTTGCAAATATTTTCAACAGGACTACTTTTACTACATATCAAATACTTTGCTACTGTCCTGATCAGGGGAAGTTATCACTGCTGGGAATTATCTATATGGACATTTGAAACAATAAATATTTTTTCAAAATGATCCTGGGTCGAAATAAAATTGGTTAACTTTGTTATATCTAAGTTTTCGATAAATAAAGAATATGGTAAGAACTATCATTTAGATTTATTTTACAACTATCCTTTAAATTGTACTATAGAATGGCAAGAATGATCATTTCCATTTTATTTTATAATGACCAATGAGATTTCCAGATTTTGAAATGACCAATGATAATTCTACTTATATTCAGCCCTGTAAAATATATAGGTAGTCAAACTGACTTCAGACGGCCTATGGCCGGAAAATTTTGTCATTATGAAAATATAAGTTGTACAGATCTGTCTAGAATTGGTTTCTTTTGGTTTATCTTTTACGTTCTCCGAAAAATGGTCCTGTTTTTCATTGTATGTGTATGTATTTATTTTTTATTTATTTGGCTGTAAACATTGGCATCATGTTCCATGCTTAATAAACTTTGTATGATTCCAATAAGACAAACCACACGCGTACATTCAATTATTTATTATTCATATCGGTTTCGAACTAGTATGTTCTTCGTCAGTGAATAAGCAAAAAATGACGTCACACGACGTCAACTTCAAAGATGGTGGGAAATATACATTGTGACGTTACGTTATATGGAAATCCATTAAAAATTAATTCAGATTTTAATAAACTTTGTATTATAAATCAGAACATGAGTTACATAAATTATAAATGGTGTTTTTTGTGTATTGAAAACAAACAAAATATTACTACTTGTGTTGTTTGTATGCATCTTGCCATTACATTTGTTAAGTTGTTTGTTATTTATTAAATTATGTATACCTCAATTGCAGTTTTGTTTAACAAGTAACTGTACTATCATAAAGTCATGAATATGTTTTAAAGGCTTCAAGGAATTCCACTGAGGTTCAAATGCTTAAAAACATAAAATTTGAAAATCCCGACAGTTTCAAGATAAGCACTTTTAAATGGAAATGTGGAAAACACTTCAAAGAATAATCAAGAAAAATATACCCAGTATAAAATTGAAAATTGATTGTGTGTAATTCTTTGCCAGATGTGAGCGAAATACATTTCGACGCGTTTCATTGTTGGCCACTTTACCGAAGAAAACTGATTATTCTGAAGAAAAAAACGGGTGAAGGAATGTGAAAATTTGCACACAAGTAATTGGTTTATACCTACATTATTAGTACATAAATCTAGGGAAAAAACTAATTCCAAACCCGTCGTGTCGACAAAAACCTCAGTGGATTTCCTTTAAGTTCCCTTGCCTTTTTTGATGTTGTTTTCGGTTCCACTGTGCTTTTATTTTATTTATACTTGCCAGTATTAACAGTATTTCTTTAAAATTGAATTCACTGTAAAAATATGGGTTGAAGTGAGCTGACTTATCAGACTGACTTAATTAAACTTATCTATTTAAAATATTGTGATGAATGGAGATTTTTTTATTCTATTTGTCTTCATGCCAGCACGGCAGAGGATTATATAACAGCCACATTGCTCTGTCTACTATTGCAGATACACCATAAGTCCTCTAAACACTGGCGTCGGAGTTGTAAAACATTCTACTGAGTTCGGTCTCAAATTGCAGGATTATCATTGGTCAGTGTGCATTCTCAAGCAGTTTCTGATCAATCACATACATGAGATTAGAGTTTGAGCTTAGATAATTTCTTTATAACATTTGACCCTGGTAAGGGTGTTGGTTTCTGTACTCAAATAAGTTTATTTTCTAGCAAATGAAACAGTTCATTCAAGACTTGTACAATAAGTACATAATCATTTTATATATACATAAATAGTATATTCAATTAAAATCACAATGAAACAAAATCAGCACATTATCACAAATTCATTTTTGAGAGGTTGAAATGTATCTAAATATGAATAATAGTAGTTCTATTTGAAAATGTTCAATATAACAGGATGTTTGGTTTTTAGAATAATTATTCTTATTTGTTGTATTTAAGTTAAGTTACTCTTGGATTGACATATTATTATATATATTGACATATTATTGTTTATAGTAATATTTTTTTTTCTTATATTACACATAATCTAATGACATAATAACGGCACATTGTTGATACGTAACCTATTCTTTTAGAGGGCAAAGTCACACCACACCATACTGTGTTTTTAAATAAAAAAATTAAAACAAGTTTTTCAAAATATTGAGAATTTTGATATATGTTTTGTTTAAAATTAAGAAACGGGTAAACCTGTATCAAATATAATTTTGACTGAGACGGGACTTTTTAAAAGTTGGGCAAATAGATTATTTGTTGCTATTGACTTCATGTGACCCTGACATAATTTTCCTGTTTATTGTTAATTATATATTTATGTACCTTGAAGAAGATTGTTCGGTCGAAACATTGGTATATGGGATTTTAAGACATTGACGTTTACTATTCATTTGGACATTGACGTTTACTATTCATTTGGACAAAAATAATACAAGAGGAATTAATAACGGAATATGTAAATCTTTATGCCACTAGAAACATGTTTACAATCAAATTTAAGTCTGTATTTTTTGTGGCTTTTTGCGGGAAGAAAATGAACCGTATAAATGGCGAGTCTAAGGAAGACTTTTGTAAACAACACTAGATTTTTGAGTAATGTTAACTTTCCTTAAACATTTCCTTGAACATTTTGTTACGTATCGAATTGGTTCGAATGAATTGATTCCAAGTAAACTTATTGTTGGCTTGACAGCCTGTAGAATAAGTGGAGGTCAGTAAATCTTTAACACTGAAAATACAAATACTCAACTGGTCTAGACAATTGTGCCAAGAAACAAACAAAGTTCTTCTATTCATTCTAATAATGTTTGTATATACATTGATAACATTTGAAATGATTGATGTTCATGGTTCTTTATCTTTATTGTTTACAATTACAAATAAATGTTACGTTGTTGTACCGTGATTATTCTTGTCATTTATTACATTTGATGATGGTTAAATTCCAAGATGAGCAAAGTTCTCTTATAACTTACATCACCTATTTGTATAATTAAAGGATCTCCACTGAGGTCAAAATGTCTATATACATAAAATTATATTAAGATATTAAGATGTAATATCGGATCATGTGTCTTTCACTTGCCAACAGCATTCTTAAACGAATTCTGTTCGTTTTCCGTTGTAACGGGCGTTTGTTAATTAAATGATAACCAAATAAAGTTAAAATGCAAACTGACCAAAGTTATGTTCTACTTATTAGTTATTATGTAATTTCTTAAATGTAGAACTGATTGCCGCCGTGTATGTTTCTCCTTCATTGTGAATTGGATTTTCAATGAAAGCTGTTTTTAACCATGCAATCAAAAGGTCCTTTACATACAGGCATTAAAACGAAATATCAAAATATCGCTGTCCTTGGAAGTTAGACAAATTGTTGACTTTTGTTAGAAAAGAATTGTTTGAAGTAATTAGAAACAAATAAACTGGAAATAATAGACTCAATTACTTAATTAATTTTCAAGAATGTTTTGCCAGTTTATGTGCCGGCTATCTAGCCAACACGGAATCGTAAATTTACCTACTAAGTATTGGTTATTCAGTGGTTTAAATAAGAAAATGCATCGCTTTTGAACTTGTAAAAGCTTGTCGATGATTGGATGTTTGACAGTCCACCAAAAGGTAACTTCCTATTGGTGCCTATCAAATCCTTATGCTAACTTACTAACGTTACTTAGGAGGTTTTAATCAGATTAAGTCAGAATAATAAAGACTTTGAATTATAGACCACTGCACTTTTTAAGCTTTTCAATTTATTGCGTACATTAATGCATTCACTATTAAAGGAATTTCAATGAGGTAAAGAATATAAGAAACTTTTTAAATTATAAGATCAAGAGAAGAACAGGAAATGGAAAAAATCTAGAAAGGATAGTACAGATGTATATTGATATTTAAATTGATTATTAAATTATTGTGTGCGACTCGTATTCTGGTTTGAGTATAAATCGTTATGATTTTTTTATTTAAGGGTCATTTTGCACAATGAAAATGAGTATTTTGGAGCAATCATCTGAAAATTTGCAGAACATTTACTGGTCGAGATTGGTTCACAAATCTCGAAAAGAAGTATTTTCAGTGCCTTCATTTCGAAAAGCCTGTTTAATATCGATATGGTTTATACGAGTATAAATCTTGATTTGTTTTATCTGCGAATCTGTGGAAATCTAATCATACATCGTGCTTTTATTGATGTTGACATTCAAGAAATATCAAAACTATTTAGATATGTTGGGAATACTCTCATTTTGCAATATAGCCAAGATAGTATTAACGTTACTATTGTATATCAAAGCATATTATAGTTAATATTAAGACAAAAGGACGTTTTTATTGAAGGCTTGTTTAATATAGAGCCATCTTATTACAATTGTGTGTATGATTATCTGTTTATTTATAAGGCAAAAATAATATACAGTGTAATAAACAAGCTTTCAACAAATTTTGAAATTTCATTTCGAGCCATACAACCTTTAGAATTATTAATATTGTTCCAACGCACCTTGAATATGAGAGTACAGAAACCACTGATTGAAACTGACAGTTCAAGAAATGTTAAAACTATTTAAACTTGTTTTAAATGTTAGGCTGGGTTAAGGTCGTATCAACAAAGTACAAGTCATATATCGACTTCGCAGCTTTACCTTAATTTACTGGTGAAAGAAGACATCAGGTGCCCTTTCGTGCACTATTGCAAGCAGGAACAAGCACCTGACTAAAACCACCGACGTTCTTTAAGCCAGTTGGATAATTTCCTCACATGAAAGAACCCAAAGTTCCTGACACGATTCAAGATCACAACTGTAAGGGGGCAAGTAATTTAAAGCCACGGATCGTTAAAATAATTATTATAATGTTGATAAAAATACTTCTGATATAGTACATATTTATACAGGATAACATGTAAATCGTTGAAGCAAACAAAATAAAGAATCTTTGTCTAAAAAGCGATGGAGTTATCAGTGCTTTTATTTCCAACTCTAATCGATAGTCTGTCATAACGCTCAGTTGCACCTATCGTTAGGCATATAAGTATTGAAGCATTCACGGAAATGACGTCACGGACGCCCGTTAATTATTCCCAAAAGTGGGTCATCGTCTCGTGTTCTCTTGCTTTTTGTTGTTGTTGGGTTTTTTGATTGTGTTGTTTTGTTGCTGTTGTGAAATTAATCATACAACGAATATTGAATGTGACTCATATGGTATACAGGTTGATTTTAATAACGGTACTGTATCTTTTAAAGTGGATTTGTCTAGATCTACAATGTTTTTTTCTTCTAATTTTGATGAAAACAATAACATTTGAATATCCATATAAAAGGATGTGTGAAAAAAAAATTGTTCAAATATTTCTAAGTATCTTAAATTGAACATTTATATGATGAATAATAATATTTTGTTCTATAACATTGTATTATCTGCTATATACATGATATAAATAATTGTAGTATCGGATCATGTAATGCACACTTGTGATTAACTTCCTTGTCTTATCGCATGACCGCCACAACTTTCCTTTGAAGATCGGCGTTCTCTAAATTTCAGTATTGGAAAACTTTGGGGTGCTCTAAATGAGGTATCAGTACGCTTTGGGGTGCTCTAAATGAGGTATCAGTACACTTTCTCGCGCATGCCCAGTTTATTATTTTATTTCAAATAATAAAGTGAACATACCTGAAAAAGAGCAAAACAAAACATTACACAGTTTACAGACTTTTTCTAATATTTAAACATTATCTCGATCTTTTTTTTTTCAAAATCTGAAAATGCAGTTATTATAAAGATGTTGACTACAGTGGAAAGTAATCGCCATTTTATGCATCCTGACCTCGAGGACAAACCTGAAACAATGATCAAAGTATTCTTTTTTTTGTTTTTTGCTTTAAACAATGCCTTCGTTTTACAGGAGATTCTGACCAGTAAGCCATTCAGTAAATCACTACACGTATATGAACATAATCTTCTAGCGTAATTATTAAAAGATGGAAGTAGTGTTAAAGGCACATTATGCGTCAGAAATGCTATCATTTTTATTTCTCAAAATTTTAAATATTTGGTGTCTTGTTACAAGTTCCACAAAAAAATACTTATTTGCCATATAAATGAACTATCTTTGCATCTTTTGCTTTGCTGGCAATTGGTATAATAATAATGAATTAGTATTTTGTATGGAAGTCAAAATACTATTTGTTTACATTTTGCTACCTTTACGACACATTACTGCACATTCAGCACTACTTTCTTCAGCTGTTAAATATCTTACATGTTCTAAATTCATTATTAAAACATTATTAAACATGTGTTTTACATTTCTTAAGAATTTAATAAAGAAGGATTTCTGAGGCATAATTTAATGTGCTTTTAAGTAAAAATCACTACATTGTCGTTAGTTTTAAAAAATACGCGTACAAGATATATCTCTGAAATATACACCCGAATACTTATGGACAATATTTCCTAGATTATATTTTGAAAATGAGCTGGAAAGATGACTATTATTTCGCAATTTAGAAAAAATGCATCAACTTACCTCGTGAAATGGTTATTTATGTTCAGTTTCTTCAACGGCATCTAATGGGTGTATTTCTGTGGGTACTTCTTAAATTTTTTATATGTTTGAATAAAGCAAGAAAAAAGTCGTGATGGTCATGCGATAAAACAGTTACAGAATAAATACTCGGACTTCACCGGCTGGTATCAGCGCATGGGGCGACATAAGGGTCAATCATGGAAATTAATCTCGACGTTCCGTCTCGATTAATTTCCTATGATTGACCCTTGTTGTCGCCCCATGCGCTGATACCAGCTGGTAAAGTCCTCGTATATATTCTATAACTATTACTTCTAGATGTATTCAATTGTTTTTATTTACTGAATTAAAGTATGATATACAGTAAACTCCGTTTATAACGACATTTAGATGTCGAATTTATATCATTATATCCCGATATCGTTATATCCGAGAGACAAACAATTAGAGACCGCGGCAACAACATCGTTATAAGCGAATTAACTTT